GCCAACTCGTAGAATGATCGACAGTGTTTTTAGCAGATCAAAGAAAAAGAATGCCAGTAATGAAGATTACCGATGTTGCCCGTTGTCAAAAAATAAATAAAATGAAACAAAAACACCAGACCTCTATATAGTTTCTTTTTAAGAGAAAAAATTATGATGAAGTGTATAAATACTCGTTTTGTTCAATTTTCATACTCGTAAATGAACTAAAAATATGCCCAGATAGTACAACTGAGAATCTAAAGTTTTCGGGGTTTTAGGCAGTCCCTGGCCTTTATCGGTTTAATCCCAGAACGTAATGTTGGGAAATTTATAAAACATTCGGGCTCATGTTTTGCATTTACGTTTCGGAAGGTGGAATAACACGACCTCTGTGGCTTTATTAGCCGGACTGTGAATTCGGTAAATACTTAGCTTAACACTTCTCAAGTAATCCGAGGACCTTTTTTAATTTAATTTTTTTTTCATAGACTCCAAACCTATCGATGCGTTTTGTTTGGAAAAAGATTCCGTTCACATAAAAAGTTATATTTCAAAATTAAATGTTTTAGTTCATATAAAGTTAATTTGAAGAAACGTATTTTTTTATTCTATAAATCTTATTTTTAGGAAATTTCGGGCATGACCCGTGGACCCCAGTTTGAAAAAAGTAACTTGTGCTTCTGACGCGAACTGCATAATTTCCAGGCAATTTTCTTTCTTTTGTGTGTTACTAATCTCGCTGCCTTTACGGTTCTAGTAATGTAGAAATATATCAACAAAACTGAGTTAATTCGGTACAAGACGATTGCGAAAGTGCGACATTTCCCAAGGACAAAATAGTAGACTTTGAAGCCCAGAGAGTACAAAAAAATTAGAGAGAACTTTGAGTTACGGTCCTGTTTCAAAACATGTAAATTCATCTCTAAAAGATTAATATTAACTACCACTCACTCAGAGCAAACTAACAACTTAGATAAAAAATAACCCGATAATGTGTATAGATAAATATGCTTACGAAGATCATAGGCGTAGGGGGCGCTCGGGCATTTGCTACCCAGATCCTGGTCCAAATAGTTTTTCGAGCAAACCCTTCGTACATATCTATAATTTTTATAGTTGCAAATTTATTATGCCTTTTTCAATATATATAATACCCACACGTGACGTTTTTAATTGAACCTTTTTAATCCTTTAGCCGTACGGTTCCGCTTGGAAACCATTGGAACTATTTTTTTTCTAGCGAATTTAAACCTTATAGTATGGGTGAGCGACCATATTTTTTCCTGGCCAGTCGATCACAGAAATGGCCACACTATTAATAAAACAGAAAAATTTCGCCAAATAAATTTATTTCAGGATTCTAATGACAGTCAATGGCAATTATGAACACAACGCAAAAGTACAAAAAAAAAAAAAATTTTCAAAATTACAAAAGCGTGAAATTTCAATGAAAGATTTGGGGTGATGAACGTCAACAAGGGAGGAATCCTTGTTCCTATACACCGTTTATCGTTGTTTGTAATTAGGATGAGTTGTAAACATTTCCGGAAACTGAACACAGATTACAAACCATAATTTCGTGACAGTTACTTAGTTTAAAGGTGAAATACGCCAACGGCGAGGTGTCCTAATAGGTGTGTTCGAGTAAACTTTGCTCGTGGTGTCTTATGATATCGTGTAAAATGTTTTTTATGGATGGTAGGCAAAAGTGAAGGCGATGTTGTGGTAAGTCGACTCGGACAAACCATATCAACAAACGGGCCTTATCAGGAGCTGGCAGGGATCAATAAATCCAAGTGCCAAGGAACGGAGTACTCCGAGAAAAACCACTATCGCAGGACAAGTGCCTCATTTCAGAATTGCTGCGGCCCTCCACCAGAATTTGTCCTGCCCAGACATAGTTCGCCACCTTTTGGGTCCAAACTTGTACGCTCTCACTCCGACGTGGCGGCAGGGATGGTCCGTTGGTACGCCCCACTTTACACAGATTACAAGTGGGAGTGTATACTGGTAACCAGGCGATTGTTTACGACAACGGACGTGTTTTCACTGTTGGTTGACTGTGCTGGAATGCTTGCCATGCGAGGGGTTTCTAAAACTGATGCACTTATTGTTCTGGACATGTAAGCCCGCCTCGCTGGTGCAAAGGTTAACTATTAAACGCTTGTACACTTACTGAATAACAATATAAATATTAACAATGAGATGCATTAGTGAAGAACAAGTGGGATTGGGCCTGACTTGAGAAAATCGCAATGTAAGGGCAGTTCTATTGTAAGGTCTATATAAACGATCATAATGCATATAAATGTTTCTTTGTAGGCTCTAGATCAATTACAGGCCTAGGCCTAATATTCCATAACATGTTGATGATGCATCATGCTTAAAGTTTACCGTATATATCTAGGCCTATCGGATCCATCAAATTTGTGAAGTTAGTCCTAATGCTAGTGACCTAGGCCTAGTTATTCTATGTATCCCCATATCGATTATTATATTAAATAACATTAATTAATGACAATAAGACCTAACGTGGGGTGGGTGGGTTTTTATACAGATAAACTTCTGAGTGTTGAATGCAGTGATTTATAAATGTAGTATCAAGTTATTCAAGACTTACTTGTAAAAACTACTCTTATGTTGAATTAAATCTCAAACTGTTATACTAGTGGTTTATCTGGCAAAAAAAGAAGACAAAATGTTAGTTAGTTTTGAAATGCTGATGATTACATGTCTTTATCAGGTATTTCACAATCTTAGTGTTTCTCTTTATCTAAAGCATTGAGTAAATATTGGTAAATCTTTACAGCTACCCTCGTACGGACTTTCATGTTCCTGGGGTTTGTGACGTTGGCACCTGGACACGAACTTGCACCAGCTAACAGTGCTGAAGATAAACTTTACATGGCCTACATGATTGAATAAAGCTGATTCTCTAGACTAACTTGCCACAATATTTTTTGTTTGTTTGTTTTTTTTTTGTTCCTACATCCCCCATCTGATAATGTTAAAGATTTATGGTCAGCAGTCTGGGTGTGTGGTCTGTGAAAGGAGTTTAGATAACATTGGCTTCTACTGGTGACAAGACTGTTAAATATACCCACAAAATTCAGTATAGATTATTTTAGAAGTTAGGGACCAAACTGTCACAAGTAAGCATGATTAATAAAATTATCAGATCATTGAATTGTGTAATAGTGAAGCCATGTTGATGTACAACTCTGTGACTTTGTTGGACACGTTTATCAATAAGAGAACAAAAGGCATGATCTTTCTTTTTTTGTGTTATGTCACGATGTATGAAGTGGCAAGCTGTGACTGTACTTTGTAGTTGACATTTTACTATTATTTCCAGTTTGATTTTATGTAAGGGTTTGTATGTAATTGATAAATAAAACTTACCTTAGCTGTGTTTTACTTAACTTTTGGTTTTAGTTTTGGTAGTAGTTTTCTGATATCCAACCAAGATTTTTAATTTTCCTTCTTTCTCTCTATATTTGAAGAATATGATGTTTGTGAAATTTAATAAACTACTTTGATGACTTAAGTAGTTTCATTTTGAATGTTAAAACATGGGTTAAGCAGTGTATCTCAACCATGGGTCTCTGCTGATCGACACAGGTTTGTTGGATTTTTCAAGTAAGCTAAAACTGATAAAATATTCGTATGTAAATCGTAATGTTTTTTTTTTGTTGTACTTGGATTTTATTGGTTTGTGACAGTATAGGAAGGCAGCGAACTGTTCTTTGGTATTGAAAGTTGAAATGCTGGTTCTTTCTGGAAGAAAAAATTAGTGTTGGTAAATCACTGGTCATGAAATAGTTTTCAACATCGGTTACTACTTTACAAATCAAGTAATGTACACTCTTCCAAAACTAACTTACTGGGGATTTAAGTTAATCAATCAATCAATCCAAAAAAAAGTTTTTAAAAATAATCCCATAGGAAAAATTAATTATAAATAATTCATAAATGAGTTGACCATTAATGAGAAAATAAACCACAAAAACTAATTCAGTATCATTAATATGTGAAACTCAAGTTTATAACACTGTATATCTTAGAAGTACAGGATGAGAAATTACATCAGGATAGTATGTTAGTGTGAGAAAAACCTTTAAAATCTGTCATTTATGTGTTGTGTAACAACAAAAGGAACAGAGATAGTTTTAAGCTGAGATGTACAAGAAAAGAGACGAGTTAAAAATAATGTTGATAAATTTGTAATGAGGTTGTAGGTACTGAGAACACTTAATTAAAAAAAAAATACTTTGATCCATCGAGTTTTGATTTTTCTTTCGCACATCTGGGTGTTTATTACACATTTTTAATTAGTTTTCCACTGATGCATATTATTAAAAATGTCCACATCGGAATATACGTATATATTTGAATACTAACGTTTGTTTGTTCAACCAAAATAACCATCTTCAAATTGTAATGTTTACACGAAACTAAATTCTCTTCAATAAACTTTCAACGAATACATCAACTGTAGGGTGAAGCAAAGGTCGTACATTTCTCCCCCTCGTGGAAAGTTGTTTAGATCACTATTACATCTGTCGTATACAAGACTGTTCTGGATGTGGCGTGGTTGACATGTACTACTTTGGTTTAGCCCGTGGGTTTTTAGAATTACTGTGATTTCTGCAGGTCACCTTTTATTTGTAGCTAATTTTTTGATACGGTTCGACCTGATTACATTAAATTTGCACACTTTCCTGATGTTGTATCATTACACACTTTAGTTTGGGATTTTTTTCTCAAATACTTGACCTTAGAAGTCCAAATGTCTTGGAAGAGAAACACTACAGCCTACGTGAGTGTAACATCACAAAACGTGAGCCGCAACCTAAGTGACCAAACATAACATACAACCCGACTGACCGAACACAAATCGTGTGTACCATAAACGGGTTTATCTAATAACATCTTGATACAACTGCAGTACAACATCAAGTTCATTGCTTATTTAATAGTTTTTACAGGAAGTTCTTCACTAATAACATCTTGATACAACTGCAGTACAACATCAAGTTCATTACTTATTCAATAGTTTTTTACAGAAAGTTCTTAGTGTGTATTTTGGTCAACAATCCAATAACCCTCCAAGAATGTATTGTTTACTAACTCCAAGGCCTGTCACTTCACCTTCAAAAACTTGCATATTTCAACATTAACTATGTTGACCAAGATGGTATCACTATTACCATTGTCAGGCTGGGTATCATGATTTTTACTAACGACATTGTTCAAGATCAAATCATATTTAATATACTTTTCAACAGTGCTTTTTTATAGATTGTTTCAATATAATTAATTTAATAATAATACTTGAGTCATTGACTTTAGTTGTTACTTACAGTAGCTGCTAAACATAACTAAGCTTACTTGTCATAAGACATTTCTGTAGCTTTCAAACATGTATAATTTAACATGAATATATTAACAGATAAAAGAAAGATTTCTGTGGTTTGTTCACCACTAAAATTGACTCCAAGATGCCTGTATCTCGAAAAACCACAAATTACTTCTGTAGCTTTCAAACATGTATAATTTAACATGAATATATTAACAGATAAAAGAAAGATTTCTGTGGTTTGTTCACCACTAAAATTGACTCCAAGATGCCTGTATCTCGAAAAACCACAAATTA